ATTTGTCTGAAATGGTATAGGGTTTCCTGCCTGAGCAGGGGGTTGGACTAGATGATCTCCAAGGTCCCTTCCAACTTTATCATTATTATTATTATTATAACATGCCTCCAGAAGCTGTGAATGCTCCAACACTGGAAGTTTTTAAGAAGAGACTGGACAGCCATTTGTCCGAAATGGTATAGGGTTTCCTGCCTGAGCACGGGGTTGGACTAGATGACCTCCAAGGTCCCTTCCAACTTTATTATTATTATTATTACTGATTATAATTGTTTAGTATTATATTAACTACTGTCATTTAATATTTGTACCCGGACGATAGTCTGCTTGCTAAAGCGTTGAATTTTTGTTGGGGGTAACCCCACTACTGTATCTATCCCTACCCTTATCCCAACCCCATTCCCTAACCCCATCCAACATCCATACCGACCTTATCCCTTCCCTACCCTTATAAAACTTAATAAAACAAGAATTTTAAAAGATGGCAACCTGTGGCTTGTAGAATTGGGGTAAGGAGAAAGAAGGGAGGTTCAAGTGACTGTCTGATTCCCCCCCCCCTCTGAACCTGATATTAACTGGGTTTGTTTTGTTTTGTGTGGGGTTTTTTTCCCCGCTGTCTAATTGTGACAGCGCAATTTCTGCCCAGAGGTGGGTTTTACATAGTTTGATTCCTAAATATTTTGTCTATTCCTTGTTTATTGATAAAAACATCCAGTCTCCTTGGTTATTGGGTGAAGGTTTTATTTTAAAAGGGTTCTCCATTCTATTTTTTTTCTCTCTCTTGGTAGAAACGCCGCCTCCTGGCTATATCAGTGAAGATGGAGAAACAAGTGACCAGCAGTTGAACCAAAGCATGGATACAGGTAAAAAAATGCCTTCCTTTTTATGGGCTGCTCAAAGCCTTTTGCCCTTTTTTTTTTGGTTAGGTTTGCGTGTGTCTCTGTGACCCCCCCCCCAAAAAAAGTGTTCTTGGGTTGTGTCAGTGTTAAGCTTTAAGGCAGTGTTTCTCAACCTTGACAATTTTAAGGCATGTGGACTTCTGGCTGTGGAATTCTGGGAGTTGAAGTCCACATGCCTTAAAATTGTCAAGGTTGAGAAACACTGCTTTAAGGGCATGTTGGTTTATTTGTTCGTTGAAACTTATTGGCCACCCATCTCCGGTGGATTCTGGTGATCTGCATCCTGTGGAAAAGATGCAATGCTAAAGATATTGGTTCTGTAGGGGATAAGTGCATATGTGCATATATATGTATGTATGTATGTATGTATGTATGTATGTATGTATATATATATATATATATATATATATATATATATATATATATATAT